GGACCCCACAATGGAACTGGCCTTGGATCCCTCTGGATCCATGTTGGACCTGGCCTTTGTTCTCCAAGGATCTTTCTGGACCCCATGTTGGACCCTTCCTCAGTTCTCCAAGGATCCTTCTGGACCCCACCTTGCCTCAGTTCTCCAAGGGTCCTTCTGGACCCCATGTTGGACCCTTCCTCAGTTTACCAAGGACCCTTCTGGACCTGACCTTGCCTCAGTTCTCCAAGGATCCCTCTGGACCCCATGCTGGACCATTCTTCAGTTCTCCAAGGACCCGTCTGAACCCATGCTGACTTTTCCATGGGAGCAGCCACACACGGGTCTGAACCCCAACCTGGAGGTGTGACGGCCCTGTCCCAGCCTGGCAGGCAGGAGCAGAGCTCTGTCCCACCCAGGTGACACACAGGGACACAAAGGCACTGTTGAGTCACTGCCCCAGCTGGGGGAACTTACGTGTCCAGCATGTTGGGGTCTGCAAACACAGAAAACAGATCCTTGTCCTGCAGAACTCCTGGAGAAGACCAGGAAACGCGGTGAGACAGGATACAGCAAACAGGAGCCAGGCACACAAAAGCCACAGGGATAAATAAATAGGAATTGTTTTACAGGAAGTGAGTCACGAGTAAACACCACAAATAATCCCAAAGTTCCTTTGAAGCCTTTGTGCTCCTGGAGAGGCGCTTGGTCACAGACACACACCCAAGGAATGGGCTTTTCCAGCAGATTCTGTGGGTGTTCCACCTCAAGGGCAGGATGGAAGCTGGGCCCCAGCTCCCTGCAGCCAGGCTGTGACTGCATCCCAAATTCCACCTGCCTGGCCCTGCCACCATCCCACAACAGGCTGGATTTAATTAACCATTCTGGAACATCCCAAATTCCACCTGCCTGGCACTGCCACCATCCCACAACAGGCTGGATTTAATGAACCATTCTGGAACATCCCAAATTCTACCTGCCTGGCCCTGCCACCATCCCACACCAGGCTGGATTTAATGAACCATTCTGGAACATCCCAAATTCCACCTGCCTGGCACTGCCACCATCCCACAACAGGCTGGATTTAGTGAACCATTCTGGAACATCCCAAATTCCACCTGGCTCGCACTGCCACCAACCCACAACAGACTGGATTTGGTGAGCCACTTAGGAGCAGGGAGAGAGCTCTATCCCTCCTTTCCCTGATCCTTCTTAAGCCAAGGAGAGAGCTCCATCCCTCCTTTCCCTGATCCTTCTTAAGCCAAGGAGAAAGCTCCATCCCTCCTTTCCCTGATCCTTCTTAAGCCAAGGAGAAAGCTCCATCCCTCCTTTCCCTGACCCTTCTGAAGCAGGATCCATCCCCAAACATCACCAACAGAGCACAACTGACACCTGAGCAGTCACTGACTCACGCTCCACAAAGGGACCAACAATTAAGAGTTTATTTACCTCTCTCTTCTCCCTCTCAAGAATTCAACCTAGCCTTGGGTCTGTCCCTTCTCCCACCAGGAATCAAACCTTTCCTCAGATCCTCTGGATCACAGCCACACTCACCCAGAGCCACGGGGTCGCTGCTGAGGCCGGGAGTAGCCACAATGATCTGATCCAGGGATTCCTTGTTTCCCAGCATCTTGAAGACCTGCCAGGGAAAGCAGAGCAGGTTGGGAACGTCACCCACTGTGGGGCTGTCCCCAGAGGGAGGGGACAGCAGAATTCCCCCCGGGAGCAGAGCACTCACAGCATCTCTGTAGGCAGGGCTGCTGTGCAGGGCAGTGTGCAGGACACGGAATTCCCGGACTGCTGCCACCTTATCCACAGGCTCTGAGGGAGAAAACACCACAACAAAGCACAGCTCAGCCTCTGTCAGCCCTCAAAGCCATTCCACAGCCCATGAGACTTCCATGCTGCAACAGGCATCCTTTAACATCCTCAGATTGGGTGCAGACTCTGCAGAGTAATGACTCGCTGCACTCTCAGATTGCAAAAATAATCAGGAATATCCTCCCACACATGCTATTACAGGAATGCCAGCTCAAACTCCTCTTTTTGTACAGTCAGGCACAGCAGGAGCACACCCCAGCCTGCTCATCCCTGGGGCTTTGCTCCAGATCCCCCGGCAACGCCCTAAAATGGATCACAGGGAATTAAGGAAGGGATGATCCCACTCCATGCTGCACAGCTCATTCCTCAACTCTCGTGGCAGCAGGAAAACCAACAGCCAGGTGCTGCTGGGAGAGGTGAGGAGTTCCCAAACACAGGGATTCATTCCCCTGGAAACCTCCACAGCAGGGAACCACAAGAGAAGCTGTTCCCAGTCTGCAATAAAACACATGCCAAGGAGAATCCAAGGGGTAATCCCCACAGCTCCTCACCTGGTTTCTGGTCAGGCTCAGGCCAGGACTTGCGCAGGACATGAACAGTGGAGCCAGACTGGATCCCATAAAAATCCAGAGTCTGGTCATCCCTCAGCTTCCGGCCACAGTAGATAAGGTCTGGGGGGAGAAACACCTCAAGGTAAACTGTGGTGCTCTCAGAACCAGCTGGGGGTCTCCAGGTGTGCCTTAGAGCCCCAGGGGTTATTGAGCAGCTGCAGCAACTGGCTAGGGAACAACACAGGGAACTTGTGGAGCTGAGAATCAGGAGGGAAATCACAGAGCTGATCTAGAGGAGACTGCAGAATCACCACCTGCGTAAGAGCTGACCTCTCTCTCAGCCCTCATGAGAGCTCTGCCAAGGACACAGAGCTGGTGGGAAGCCCAAATATTCCCGGACAAGGGCACTGCCACGGCTGGAGCGCCCTGATGCCAAGGAAACAGGGAAAGAACACCGAGCCCTCCCAGCAGCAGGATGTGGCGTCCCGTCCGCGGCGAGGACGGGCCGAGGGTGTCCCCAAGCGGCGGGAGGGCGCCAGGCTCCGGCGGGACACGCACCGATGAGCTCGGGGTCCGGCATGGATTCCTGCAGCTTGCCCGTGATCAGCTGCTTGAGGTGCAAGATGCTGCAGCCGCCCAGCGGGCACTCGCCCAGCTCGGTCTCCGGCAGGCGCAGGATGGATTTGGGGGCCAGCGGCTGCTCGGCCAGCTTCACGGCGATGTGCCACTCCGGCAGGGCCATGGCGGCTGTGTGCTGGGGGACACAGCCGAGTGACACCCCGACACAGCCAGCCCTCCCTCACCCATGGCTGCGGTGCCC